AAACATCTATAGCTTTTAGATTTTTTATTAAACATTTTCCTACATTTTAGGTGCCACATGTATTATAAGTAGCATTTTATTAATTCAAAATTACACAATTTTCCATTATATATAATGTACCAATTAATTAATAATTATTATATTAATACTCCAAATCTCCTAGAATCTAGTAGAGGTATGTTTTAAAAATCTAAGAACTATTCAAATTTGATCTATTTCTACTTCTAACATGATATATACATCTACCATCTTCTTCCACGACCATTCAACAATCTTTTCGTGCCATTTCTTTGCTCAGGTCAGTTGACACTCTTCCGCTCTCCCTTGTCAATTATATTAATTTTCTTTGTATGTTCATTTTATGCACCTCTTGATTTGAGTATCAGTACCATGGTACATTTGGAAAATAGATTCTAGTGGTAGATGGTATTAGGTACGTTTCAATTTAGCATTGTACATTTGAGGATCCTTCCCATGGTACATTTGGAAAATAGAGTCTAGTGGTAGATGTTAAAAGGTACGTTTCAATTTAGCATTGGTACATTTCTAGCCAATATGTTGGTACGTTTCAATTTGGCATGGGTACATTTTTATCAGTAGTGGTACATTTCAATTTGGCATTGGTATGTTTTAAGCCAATATTGGTACGTTTCAAAATGGCATGGGTACATTTCTATCAGTATCAATACGTTTCAATTTGGCATTGGTATGTCTCAAGCCAATATTAGTATGTTTCAACATGACATGGGTACAATTTCAAATTAGGCATATGGACAAACTAAGAAACACACACACTCACCATGTATGCAATCCTCTTCTTCATGGAACCTCCTCTTTGTTCTTCATGAATCCGTTTTGAGAGACTCCTTATTTGGGAAAGAGAATCAAGATGTTTTTTTTTTCCAAAGAATCAAGATGTTTGTAGTGTTCAAATGGCATAGTAAAGATCACAACATACAAAGCAAGAGTTCTTCTTTTAGCACTAAAATGAAACAATGATAGACTCTTCTCCATCAGAAAATCCCTAATGCTCTACTTGAACCAATATTTTTATGGTTACACCATTCCTTAAGGCAACATAACCAATTATTAGGTATACTTGTTGAAGCATGAAACGTATCTCAAGTTCTGCAAATCTCTACCGGAGATAAACATCATGAGGTACAAATAATATACAAGTGAAAGTGAGCTGCAACAGAAAAAAAAAACAATTGTTCAAAATTCAAAATTCAGGAGATAATATTGATGATTTAATAGTTAATATCCATTAATAATCCCTTAAAAAGGGACAAATAATTTTGATTATTTAATAGTTAATATCCATTTAATAGTTAATAGCATTAATATATCTCTTCAAAAGGGGCATAAATTCTGACACGTAAAAATAACCTTTGATTAAAAGGATAAAGTGGGAAATCAACATATAATATTTTTCATTAAAAGAAATAAACTAATGATGTGTAAATAAAAAAATTTTAAAATGCTTAGGTGGCCATTACTCCAAGCGTTTTGATCAAATCTTTAAAAGACACAAAAGTTTAATTTAAAAAATGTAGAAAAATAGTGGGGCATTCCAATTTTCCCTTATTTTTTGAGTTCAATTCGTCCTTTGATAAAATGCAAATTAATCGTTATCATTACTATGTCACATATTGTTCAAATGGAAACAATTAAAAACACCAATATTATCACAAAGGAGAAGATGAAAAACTTTACTACAAGTGATCAATTGAAGGTGAATAACTTTAAAACAAGTGACTGTTGAAGGTGAACAACTTTTATATTGCTGTGATGTCTCTCAAGGAGTTGAGGACTATCAGGAATGAAAGGTTTCTTGGCTTATAATAAGTAAGAGAAATACTGGTCGTTTTAAATGACAATATAATAATTAATTTCAAGGGAATACATCATCATATTTGTTTAGAGATGAAAAATAATATGATTTGGATGTGTATTTATGTATCTTGAAGGAAAATATACTAAGTTATTGGGGTTAGTCTAGTGGTGAAAGGTGAGAGTGGACTCCAGTACAGAGAGGCGGTTGCCTAAGGGCTCGATTTAGTGGGGCCTTGAAAAAAAAAATATTTTAAAGTGTATAGTCAAGTTTAAATACTAAAAAAAGATACATAGTAGAATTTGATCACTAAATTCACTAGCGTCGTGGGAACTATATAGGAGCTCATTAGGCAGTTTAATTGGTAGTGGTTAGAAACTTGAATTTGTTCTTGCTTTTTCTTTTTATTTTTATTTTTTCCAGTTATGCTGCATATAATAGCCCTACACCAAAGACATGTAAGAGGGCACAAGTCTAACACCTCCACGACAATGACTGCTTCAGGAATTTTTTTTTTCACCAACGATGGAATCCAAAATTAATCAAGAAAAATAAAACAGGGCTGGTAAAACACTTATTCTTGAGCTTAACGTTTCAACGAACCCTTGGTCGTCCCAAACTTAAGCCTTAAGCCTTATCACCCTGCAATTATCTCTCTATCTATTTGAAATTCTGTCTCTCTCTCTGCAAATCAACTTTCACGAGATCAAGAAGATTGTAGTTTGAGATAATAATCACATAAAATCTTTGAATTTATATTTTACTTATGTAATTGTACGTATGTTTTAAAGTTTTACATGGAGTAAGAACTTTCTCTTCATCCTTCTTTTGTCGATCTGTTTGAGTTTGATGGACTAGCATATGCTATTAACCATTGGATTCTTAGGTCTCCATGAATTTGAATGTTACGAAATAGTTGATTTTGACATATAATTATATAGTGAACTTGAGAATGCACATTGGATGATTACGTATATGATATATTGTAATTTGTAGTTAGTGAGATGTATAATCGATATGCATGAATTTGTACCTAATTGCCGAAAAACACAAACTTTATGGATGTTGAATGCATTGGAGGACTCAGAAAAACTCAAGGGCCCTTACAAGACCACCTCAGGCCCCCACAATCTTAAGACCGGTTATGTGGTAGTAAGTTAGGTCTAAGGTAACAGAGTATCCACGCTCGAATTTACGTGTTTAACTATCTTGATGAAGTGATACATTTAATTGAACAAGTTGAAAATGCATTGGGAACAATTTGGCTTTTTTTAATTTTTGTTTTCTTGATAATCAAAATCAACGTATTTTGTCTTGGTATGTTATAGGGGCATATAAACATAAATATGAGGCTGGCGAATAAAGCAAATTGCCATTACCATTGCCTTGAAATTCAAGGCTTGAATGCTAATTAAGTACTCGTATTCCATATATATTCACCCACTTAGAAGTTTCCGTGTAATTAAATTGGTAATAGCAAATGTTCTGCTGATTACCAGTATATTTAGAGGTGACCTCAATGCAGAAAATGTCAAAGAAAAGGGAAACATGAATTATATTTGTCATATTTTGTGATGTAAGCTCAATTAGGTTTCTGAGAGTGAAGACAAAGTATTGGTTGTGGTTTCTTTAACCTTTGTGCGACTAATGACGTATTATTTTGGTAATAGACCCGAATGATGTATATATATATATATATATATGGAAAGTGCCCTAAAACTGCAGTCTGCTGAGCTTTATTGATTCTACTAATATGGACCAAACCGTGTTCCTTCCTAGACGCTGCAGCGGGTCATTAAATAGACAGATTGGAAAAAAAGAAAAAAGTGTGATTCGGACATGAAAGTAGTCACCGAGGCTTATGGTTAATCATCATGCATGCAATACATGTTCTATTAATTACTTTGAAAACCACAAATTGCTTTAAACTAATTACCTTGCCAGACTATGTTCTGCAACTTGGAAAATTAGAGTTCGTATTTTCAATTTACGTAGCAAATAAATTGTAGCTTCCTTAATTTTACCCAAATGTACAGCAGCAATGCAGAAGACTAGATTGGTCCAGTAGAGGTAAAATATTGTAATAAATTTGAGTTAGAGAGCCACCAGTAATTATCTTCAAAGTTTACCATTCTTTTTAGCAATGACAGAAGGTCTTCATCGAAGACAAAAATGATGAAAGGTTTCATCTAAGAGTCCTTTGCTTCTTTTGGTTGAACAAACACATGTTAGAAATCAAAGATCTAGAAAGCTAATTTTTTTATTAATTTGCTTGATATAGCATGTAATGATGTTCGATTAATTAATACAGTACAACCTAACCTTCGAAGGAAGGATAATTATGGATCTTTTTAGAGGGTGCAAGTGGAGACACATGCATGCAAGGTCTCATCCATAAAAGAGTTGCAGAAAATAAACATAATTAAGATAGAGAAGTTCTACTTTAAATGCGTGAAAAGTGGTATTGTTGGCTATAATTAAAGGTCCATTAGTTGTTGTGTGTGTTGCCTAAACTCAAATTTCTTGTGGTGCCCTAATTCGTTAATATTTTGTTATTATATGTATGTTTCCCATGGCGCACAGTAGAGCTTCAAAGACAAAGAGGGCGTAGACCTTAAATGGCATTCTAATACTTTCATGTTTGTTATGTTACTGAAGCAAATTTCAGACTTTTAATTGTATCAGCAAATGTTAAAGTTAGCAAAAAAGTAAAAATTAAGCTAGATAGAATAAATTAGACACATTTAGATGGGGTACCTTATATTCACTATGATTAATTTGATGCTCTGTGAACTTATTTTTACAAGATAAAGGGAGATGCACATCCTACAAGATTTCTGTAAAGACCAGGAATTTTGAAAGGTGCATGTCATCATATCAAAAGAATAACAATTTTGTAGAATTATAATTGGTAATGTAGATGTAAAACAAAAACAAAAACAAAACAATAAAAATCCAAATGAATTCAGTAGACAGACTAAGCAGATAGGGGGCATTATCCATATAGTAGGTAGAAAGTACTAAGAAATCGGTCATAATATTATTAATCTTATGTTCTAAGCTATATATCATGCATGGCTTGTAGTTTGTGCAAAATTAACTATACACAAAAAAGTACGTATATGCTTTTGTTAATAAGCTGTACAAATTGCAATAATACTTAATTGTACCAAGGAAATTGTCAACCTCCTCCATTGTTTTTGAAATACAGACCTACAGATAATTATGTAACCTAGACAACTTAAGGAAAATACATATTTATATTTACAATGAGATTCTTAAATACCTTTTTGTGCTAGAGAAAATAGTTGGTAAACTGCTGGAGGAATTCCTTGTTACTCTTATATCCCTCGGTAGGTTACATAAACCGACCATTTCCAAGTCGAAGTTCCAAATCCACTTCATCATTACTCCTAACACCCCTTCTGAATTCATCATCCTCCAACCGCAAGCTTAAATTTGCACCGCAAAGTTCTTGGTTCATACCCAAAGACTGTGACCTTGACCCAACTGATGAATCGTCATGATCATATCCGTATGGGATTCTAGGTTTAGACCCATTTGGCTGAAAATACATTTGGTAATTCATCTGATCCAAAACTGGGTAGTACCCAGAAGCCCCCTGGCTTGAAATTGGTGCACTACTATATTGATGATGATGAGAAGTACTCATGGATATGTATTGATCCTCATTCGAGTAGTGGTTTGAATTAAGTGATGATGTACCTGAGATGAGTTGCTTCGCTTTGGCTCGGTCTTTCCTGTGGATGTTCATGTGACCTCCCAAGGCTTGAGCGTTGGTAAACCCCCTCTTGCAAAATGTGCATTCGTAGCTTCGTTTCACTGTTGTAGCACCTGAATCATGATCGTCATCTCTGACTTGATCTTCATCGCTTGAACTCGTCTCCGGGCTTCTTGGTCTCCAAGATTCCATGTTGAAACGCGTTGTTGTGCAATCGAATTCCTACACAGTTTTCTTCACTTGGGATCACTAAGTGGAAGAATCAATATAGAGATAGAGGGTTGGTTGTAAGTAGGGAGGAAACCAATTGAAGTGTGAAATGTAGATGCATCTACAAGACATATGGGCATTGCTATATACTGTGTCTTTATATTAAGGAGAACGCAGTTTTGGCATTTGGTGAAAGACTTTTTCATCTAGCCGGCGGTTCCATTTAAATTATCTTATTTATTTAATATTTTGCGTCCTTACCCTTAATTTCTTTCTGCCCCTATAATTTTGGGTTTGTTTCCAGTTGTTATTTTCTCATCATCTCTATTTGTGTGTACGTGATTATTTTCTTCAGCACACTTCATGATGAGTAAGCTAGGGCTACTATTAACAGTAGGTAATAACCGTACAATTTACATGCCACATATTTCACGCCTTCAAGTAATAATTTCAAACCTAATTACCACACTGCAAATTATATACTCTAAGAAGGGATCTCCCTTAATTACTAAACATCTTTTATGCATATACATCAACTCTTTTTCCTACCCTATTGATTGACAAGATGATAATTGGAAAGTGATCTTGTGATTCATTTTGTTAGTTTACTTCGTCTCCAAGACTACCTAAAGGTGAGCTAATTAATTAACCGTATTAAAGTTTCTATAATACGTATTCTTTGATTGAAGAAAATGGATTAGGACAAAAGTCGAACTCTGATTATAAGTGTAAGGGTCCGTTAAGTTATCGATCGGTCTGCCGCAAAGCTACAACCCTCTTACAAGCGTTGTTTTAGGCAGTTGTTCGTACTCTCAAATTGCCATCTTGCATTCCAACATCAATTTAAAGTACATAGAGAAAGATTGAAAGATGAAAATTTGAGACCCAGAGAATATCTAGTATCCACTCACTGAATTGAACCAAGCTAATTAAGCTCCAACTAAACAACTAGCTATAGTACTAGTGACTAGTCTATTATCTATGATTAAGAGATGATGAGAAGTGGGAATTGGGGGGAGCAGTTCAAAAGGAATAAATAGATAGTAACCCGATTAATTTTAAAATAGAAAAATCTCTACCACACCATTTGTCTCCATGTTTAGTAGCAGTTATTAGCTGGTGCCTTTTGTATCAGAGACGAACAAATTAAACCACGTCCTGCTGTGCGCATCTGATGGCATTTTACCTTTGACCATGTCTCTAAAATGATATCAGTGCTTACTAAGACTCAGAGGAGACGGCTACTTTCTCCTTCTTTTGTTTTATAATTACCATCCAAGAATTATTCATCATCATCAAATTTAAATGTGCAATTATAATAATGATGATTACTCAGGGAAATAGTCTCTTGGACAAATGGAAGGTTAGAGAATAGAGAGCGTCAATTGACAGCAACGTGACTGCTGTATTAGTGCTTGCATTTGCCACTTCAATTCCGATTAGCAAATATAACATAAAATATGTAAGTGCGTTTATGCAGATACGATCCAAATTATGTTTGTATCTTCCTGGATTTCGAATTTCTAATCAATGTATGGTAGGTTCAAACTTTGGCTTGAATACGTGCAAGCAAGAAAAATACAACAATTTTTATTTAATCAAATATAAAACGAAATTATCACATGGTTCCAACCATGTATTTTATTTTATTTTATAGGCGATGTATTTTAATCTTTAGCGTTTATATTAGGGATGAATCTTCCCCTCCTACTCCGCACTCTCGAGCAGCACTCAAATTGGTGTACATATAATGTAGGAGAGAAGAAAAACTCAATCATACTAATCGTGATGTATAATAAGATATGGATCAATTCGTGCGAAAAAAAAAAAATTAAGGTCCTAAATTTAAAGAAAATAAAGCGACTCAACTTTGGGAAAAGAAAGTACGGAAAAAAAAAAGAAAAAGAGGGAAGAATGGTGTATGGTTGGGACTTTCAGGTTGTTTGAGCAATTTAATAGCAAATAACCACTTATTACTACCGTCTAGTGGTATTTCTTTTTATTTGTAAGTGATAGGTCTTAGGTTCTCCTTTCGTTAAAGGCAAATTTAAAGCGAATTTTTGTTAGCATATTATGAGGCTTAACTTACTCCCCCAACCCCTAGGGTAGATAATGTTGTTTGTTCCCAATAAAAGAAAATAGCAAAGAATATTTGTGGAAGGATTTAGATTAGTTTCTCGGTTGGTATTTATCTCACTATAAGTAATATATTAGGATAGTATTTCATGATATATTTGGTTTTTAGGTTTATATTGCTTTCTTGTTTTTCAAGTTTAAGAATATTTTGTAATCTGAGTTTCCTTAGATTTAGGGTTTTTAAACAACCTTGTGGAATTGTATCATAATCTTTTTATCATCCTATCAATTAAGCTTTATATTTTTCTAATTTACTTATGGATTCCAGGGTATAGATGGATTTCAGTTGATATTCTAAAATTTGATGATGTTTGATCTTACCTATTTCGTTTCTTTTTGTGTGAAGTAGATAAGTAGTTTCAGTTTGAATTTATTTTTTACAAAAATTAATCTATGAATCGTAACTTAAAAATCACTGCTCTAGAAATCTCCGCCTAGGGCTGCCTAGGCCCCATGTAGGCGCGACTAGCCACCATCCCAATTAATTTCTAGACGTTTGAATCTTTCTCATTTAGTTTTTGTGTTTTGAGGTGATGGGTTTGTGTAAGTGGACATATGAGTTCGAGATGGCGGAAGGAGAACACCTTCGCCAGCAAGTCTCCTATTACAAAAAATCATATCCACCACCTTCGCCACCGCTCGTCATTGTCTCTCTCTAGTTATTGGCTATATTGCTATCAATTGTCCAATACTGTCCAATCTTATCTTTAATTTGTGCACACATTAATTTGGGTTTAATATTTCAATACTCATGAACTAGTTCTTGGTGTGTAAAGTTGCTTTTCTTGCTCTTAAGCTATAAAGATTTGGAATCGAATTAACAATGACAGTCAACAACTTATTTACCACAGTAAATATATATTGTCTTTTAAGGCAATATCTGGTTGTCAACCTCTCACACTCTCACACACACAAGTTCATGTAAATAAATTAGTACTCATTGTCATGCATGCATGTGATTAGCAGAGTCTATACCTTGCTGAAAACAATGGAGAAGAAGAATGGGGAGATTAAGATGTTGATGTGCGCTGACTGCTTATTGCTCCTCCTTTATGCCACCTCTTCACTTTCACTAAAACAACCACCTTTGCAGCCTCTTCCTAATCCTATTTGTCTCCCTTTCTTTCTATCTAGTTTCACAATTCATATGCTTTTGCTAGTACGACGTGCGGGGACCCTTCTAAAATGTACTAAAAATTCCATATTTTCCCTTTCCATTGTGGTTTTGGTTTTTATTTATTTACGGCATACAATAATTTGCTTGTTAGGGCTAAGCTACTCCCTAGCCACTCCTAATGATCCTTATTTAGTATTACTTGTTATAATTATTCTCCTTCCTCTGGTATATCTTAGTGATGATTTTAGTCTTTGTCATGTGACTTGTAAAGGACAAAGTGAGTTGAGATAATTACCAAAATATGAAAAGACAGTTATGAAGTTTGAAACCAATTCCTAGTGATGAAGTGAAGTGATCAAGTCCTCATAAAATAAAAAATTAAAAACAGAAACCAAGTGATCAACATAATTAAGTGATTAAATGTAATACGAAATCCACCCATAGACGCAAAAAGCTCTTAATGTGATAACAAACAAAACGAAGAAGACAACAAATAAGATGTTAAGGGTTAGCTTCTGTTTCTTTCCTTTCTCTTTGATCTTGTACATATAATTGCACGGTTGAGTGCATGGTTGCCTAACATTAGTATATAGCTTCTTTTTTATCACACATATTCATTTAGAGTTTAATTACATGTTTTTTGAACTGCATTAGTTTTGATTTGTGATACAAGAATCCAGATGTATATATTGCAAGAGCTTTGTATCTCAGTTAGTTAAAAATATTCACCCATCTATTTGAGATCCCATATTCAACCATCCTCCATGGCACTGATGGCACGCATGCCTAGTGAGAAAGGACAGTTTTGATGGACTCAATAGATGCGCCAAGGCTTTACACAGCAAGGCCTGGAGAATTGTGGTTCTATCTGGGTGATACTTTTGTTCTTTATTTGGCCCAACCCAGATCAGTTCCGTTTCTCTTAGGCAGGCAAATCAAGAGTGAGTCTTTGGAGAGCTACAATTCATACAATGATATCAACATGACGTGATCTCCTGTGCGATCTTGTAAATGTTAGATACTCGATCACACAAATACCAGTAGCTGACTGACTTTTACTGAGAACGATATGTGAACATGAATGAAAATGGGCACGTGATCATCTCTCTTCACTTCTCTTCCTTTCATTTGGACCCCAGAGTTATTAGGTAGGGCGGTCCATATGACCAGTCCTTCATCTAAGCAAGGGTTGGATTTGCCTTGGAATTTGCTTAAGGGTTTTGGAGGAGTATTTATCAGTAATAGCCAAAATTTAGCCCATAAATTCATAAATATCAGTTTTTATAAAACAAATTCCAATATAGCCAAAAGTTCACTTAAATAGACCTAACTACCCTCAAATCAAAACTTAATTACACCTAAAACCAAAACCTAATTAAGCATCATTGTTCTCCAGTATCATTGCTGCCATATTGGGATCCAGAAGCAGAATCATCAACTTGCTTAGATTTTGGATTTGAATTGTCATATATATGATTCTTGTCACATACACCATAAAATAAATCCAAAATATTCTCATCTTCCAACGTACTTTTCTGGAGTGATTTGATTCAAAGCCCTTCCTTCGTCTCCCTCTTTTTCTTTGTGTCTTTCACATGTCCACATTAAAATTGCTTCACTCGTTAGGTTATGCTCAATTTTTATCACTTAATTAAATGCCTAATTTGGGTACCCTATATTTAAGAACTCATGTGCAAAATGCCTGAGAGCATACAATTGCAATTAAGGGTGGGCAAACAAATCTTGGACCCTCGGATCGGGGCAGGTCTAAGCGATTTGGGGCTGGTACAGGGTGGGTCCAAAATTTTAAAATTCAACATAGGGCAGGGCAGGTCGGATCCAAGTTAATAGCATGGCGAGGCAGGTCCAAATCTTGGAAGAAACGGGCCATCGGCCCGAACCGATTTCCACCCCCACTTC